TTGAAAGTCCCAGCTGTTGATTTCAATTTAAAAGGCCTCTTGGTGGCTATTGTTGTTTCTCTAAGGGTCTTGAACTGCTGTAGTTGTGTGGGTTTTGTTTTACCTCTTCAACCTAACTGGCGCTGCATAAAAGTAGGCCACTAGGGTGTTTTAAATCTTCTCCGACAGTTGTAATTGGGCCAGTGAGGAACAATGAACATAAAGAGGTTTTTGGATCATATAGCCGGAATAAACTCCTGTAATAGCTACCTGACTTCTGACGACAGCCTCTAAAGCAGAACACACCCACTCACAGATTGACACACAGTGGTAAAGCAACGTTGCTTTCAGCTTTTGTTCCTTGGATTTGTTTGTTCAGTTTCTGAAGTCAGAAAACAGAAGGCTGAGAGGGGAGTGGCAGTGACGTTACTGGAAAAGGAACAAAAAGCAAAACTGTAAAAATAAGTTATAGAGCTCTACCCCAAATTCTTGAATGTATTAGTGCAAATTGCTGTAGGTAAAGACCAGTTTAGTTGATTGATTTTTTTTCTTTCATTTTTTTTTTTGTTCCTAGTTTGTCAGCAGAATGCATTGTAGCAGTATATATGGAATAGCAAGCAAGCACATGCAGTGCAATACAATGCACCAGAGACACTGTAGTAGTAATACTTTACATGTATATAGCACCTTTTATCCCCAAGGATCTTTAGGATCACAGCACACCATAAATTTACACAAATGCCACTACTAGGGCTGAACAGTGGTGGGATAGAAGGAGGCTGAGCATTTCTTTGCTAAAGATGCCAGAGCATACCTTTACACTTAAAACATATTATATGACATCTCATATTTAGATATAGCTGACAGATCTACAGCTTGTAGTAGAATGGCATAAATGTACGCTTAGGGAGCAAACTGAATTACTTTTGCCTACGTTTGTGTTTGCTTCCTAGTAAATAGGATTATTGGTAGGCATGTTCATAGAAATTGTGAATCTAAAACTAGTAGAGAATATTTGAAGAATGTGAATTTCAAACACATGTGTCTGTGTGTGTGTGTCCCCACAAGCTGATTCAGAAGGGTTATGCCGGCATCTTTGGGGAGGTGGAAATGTCATTAGACCTGTACGTCCAATCAAAACTAACTGTAGCAATTAGAATTTGGAATATCACATACTCTCAACATATTGTTCATATGTTACTCATGGTCCAAGTTTTTACAAATTTTGCTGATTAAGAATTAATAATGGGTGTATGGCTG